AAAATACTATCCACGTGTTAAAATACCCAGGAGTAAGGTATTCATAAACGATGTACATAGTGATGGAACCTTCCGCATTATTAATAATTAATAATTAATAATAACTATTAACAATTAGCCCGAGTTTTTAACTAAAAATTACTTAATGATGTATGGCGCAGCTATTTAATATTAGTACTGCGCAGGCGAAAAATATGCTAATATTCCCATACATTTTTTTTACACTAATGTTCGGAAACGTCCTTATTCCATGTACTAAATGGTATTTTATTCAAATGAGAGGACGTTAAAATTACGGTTTCGGAAGACGAGTATTTTTTTTCTTTGTTTGCGAAGTGACAAAATTTAATTATATCTGGATACACTTATTTATATTTCAACTTTTAGTAATAAGCGTAAACATTATTAGAATTGAATTTCCGGGTTAATAAACGACAACTATAGCACGCTTATTAGCTAAAATCCTAACAAGTTCGCCCGCATTAGGTTAGTGTTAGCTGAATTCTAATTAATTTTTGCGGAATTTGGTTGTCAGGATCAGTGTTGGCATATGACCTTAAATGACTTATATGATCTTTATGACCTATCATAGGTTATTCGGTCATAACGAAGATTGATATGACTTATGACTTTTTTTAATATAGTAAGAATCATAGTAAAAATTTTTTCAATTAGCATTTAATATGACCGACATGACTATGATCAAAAAGTCATATGATTATATGACCAAGGTCATATGGAAAAAAATATTATGACTTAGGTCATCGGTCAATACTGTCCAGGATTGTTTGTTAGGATGGTTTGTCGGGATTTTGACCCAAATAATTACATAATAATAAAACATTTATTAATTAGTTAATAATAGTTAATAATATTTAATAATTTCTGTAATTGTTACGAATTGTTATGCAAGCATTTTAATAACTGCATATGTATGTAATTGTTTGGGTCAAAATCCCGACAAACAATCCTGACAACCAAATTCTCGGCAAAAATTAATTAGAATTCAGCTAACACTAATCTAATGCGGGTGGACTTGCTAGGATTTTGGCTAATGAACGTGCTATAGTTATCGTTTATTAACCTAGAAATTAAACTCTAATAATGTTTGCGCTTATTACTAAAAGTTGAAATATAAATAAGTGTATCCATATATTATTAAAATTTTGTCACTTCGCAAACAAAAAAAAATATACTCATCTTCCGAAACCGTAATTTTAATGTCCTCTCATTTTAATAAAATACCATTTAGTACATGCATAAGGAAGTACCCGAGCACTAATTAAAGAGAAAATGTATGGAAAAATTGGCGTATTTTTCGCCTGCGCGGTACTAATACTAAATAGCTGCGCCATACATTATTTTTGTTAATAACTCGGGCTAATTTTCACTACATGCAGTTATTAAAATGCTTGCATACGTACCAATTTTTAACAATTACTTATTAACTAATTAATAATTGTTTTATTATTAACCAACGATGTAAATATTTTATAGACATTACAAGTTTTACTAAAATTACTTCGCTGTTCTTTCACTACGTGTTAAAAATTAGTTATAATTATCTGTTATTGCTACGTACGTACGTACGTACGTACACACGTTTTTGCTCATTTGTAACAAAAACTAAATTGAGCTTATTGTACTACATAACTACAATGAGTGCTACCAAGATTTGGGGCTTTCAGTTTTTTTTATTTACTATTTATTATTTACTGGATTCAGCCCTCTAATCGACGACACATATTATATGTAATTAAATTAATGTTGCCAAGACTTCGGCTTTTAAATAATATATATATGTAATCGATCGGATTTTCAAGGGCTGAATCTGGTTAACTAATTATAAACTTGTAAGTCCGAAGTCTCATTTTTCCCCTGGCGGCACTCATGAAGCGAAAAGCATAGCTTATTACGTAAGTAGTTTATTTTCTAATTTTCCCAAGTTTCTGTTGGGCTCTTAAAAATCCTGTCTTTTTGATTGAATACGAAAATAATAAAACATCCCATTATAGTTAACTAAGGTTTTTCAAAGAGCGTTTTTCGTAGAACGCTGTTTCGTAAACAAAATTTAAGTTTTTGAGAGATTTTTTAAAAATTTTGGTTTTTTTGTAATTTTACATTACACCAGATTTCGTAATTTTGTTAGTAATCAACTCTGCCCAATCAAAGATAACATTTTCGTGACAAAATCAGAGATCGGTCAAAAATTAGAACTCCCGGTGGCTATGAATGAGGCTATCATAGGTATGCATGGTGATGTCATAAGACGTCTTCGAATTATCCAAATTACTGAAGCAAAAAAAGAATTCCAAAATAGTACGGTGTAAATGGCCTAGCCACATCAAAGATGATGAAATTTTGCAGAACATCATTCCACAATACTGAATTAGGTATGAAATAGATCTGTTAGAATACAAATTTAAAAAATAAATCGGGTGTCATACCATATTAAATAAAATTATGATGGCTTAGACCAGACCAACTTAATTCTGTGTTTTACGTTACGCCTCCCCTTTCATTCTTAATAAAAAACTTTTTTTTACAATTATATATATGGTTATGGACTATTTAGGAAAAAATTTTAAATAATACTAAGTCCCTTCTTTTCAGGGGTAAAACACAAAATCAAGTTGGTCCAACCTTATATTAACGTTAAGAGAGTTACTAATAGTAGTCCTACAACCATCCAATTAACGGCATCAAGATCAAGCGTACATAACACATAAGTTCGTATCGCAAAATTATGTTTCTAAATACTGTTTTCCTTTCAATTATAGCCCTTAAATTACAATTTTACAGAAGTATTCATATGTTTTTCGTGTTTACTCGGCCGGTAAATCTCAGATAAATACTATTTAAATTTTGTTTTATGACCTGATTTAGATAATTAAAGATTCGTAAGACCGTGCAAAGAGTCACAAGGCGTGTACGTAGCGTAACACCATACATTAATAGAGAAAGAATTGCTAAATTGTATACATACGTACGTACGACAGAAAAATCGGGATGATCTTATACTTTTAAGGATATATAATAGGAGGCTAATGCGTCATATGACTCCTATCATTAATTATTATATACGTACCGATACTGTGCATTTGATCAACACTACAAAAATGAGAAATCTAACGTTAATACTTGTTATAATTCTTAATATTACGTTGTTTTCTACTTTTGTAGTCTCTCAAACAACACCTTCTGCTAGTAACTTTACATCTGCTGCTAATAATGTTACAGGTGTCGCATGTTTTATCGTAAAAGGTTATCCATTATTCTCTTCAGTTAGTCTT